CGCTTGAACCTGGGAGGCAGAGGTTGTAGTGAGCCGAGATTGTGCCACTGCACTCCAGCCTGGGTGACAGAGACTCTGTCTCAAAAAAAAAATTAGCTGTGTGTGGTGGTACACTATAATAGCCCCAGCTACTCCAGAGGCTGAGGTGGGAGGATCACGTGAGCCCAGGAGTTCCAGGGTGCAGTGAGCTGTGATTGCACCACTCCGCTGCTTCCTGAGTGACAGAGCAAGACCCTGACTCTAAAAAATAAAAACTGAAGGTAACTCAATGTCTCTTCATGCAGTTGGCCCCTTGTGGTTGTTTCTCTGAGGAGCCACTCTGCCAGGTCCTTTCCCTCTGTCCCTCTTCTGTGACCTCATGAACTTGACCTGGAAGCCTGGCCACTGTCCCTTAGTTGGATTTCTGTAGGTGAGAGGGGATGTCACTGTTTTGGAAGCAGTTGGGCCTCCCTGCAATTCTGAGCACTGCTGGGCCCTCATCAAGACAGTCTCAACTGGGCATGTGGCTCACGCCTGTAATCCCAGCACTCTGGGGGGCTGAGGCAGGTGGATCACCTGAGGTCAGGGGTTCAAGACCAGCCTGGCCAACATGCTGAAACCTCATCTCTTCTAAAGATACAAAAATTAGCCGGGCATGGTGGGGCACATCTGTAATCCCAGCTACTTGGGAGGCTGAGGCACAAGAATCACTTGAACCCAGGAGGTGGAGGTTGCAGTGAGCTGAGATCACGCCGCTGCACTCCTCCCTGGGTGACAGAGTGAGACTCCATCTCAGGAAAAAACAGTCTCATGGGCTGCAGTGTAGGGAGACTGCCCAGATGTCTGGTTGTTGAGGTATGTCGGGGAAGCAGCCTTTGAAAGAAAAGGCATATAATTTTGGGGTCAGGCATACTTAGCTTGAAATCCAGTCTCTGCCACTTTCTAGGTGTGTCATCTTGGCTAAGTTATTTAACCCCTTTGAACCTCAGGTTTTTCATTTGCAGTGTGAGTTTAATGAATACATCTAGGTTGGTGCAAAAGTAATCACGGTTTTGCCATTACTCCCCCGCCTTTTTTTTTTTTTTGAGACAGAGTCTTGCTCTATCGCCCAGGCTGGAGCGCAGTGACGCCATTTTGGCTCACTGCAACCTCTGCCTCCTGGGTTCAAGCGATTCTTCTGCCTCAGCCTCCCGAGTAGCTGGGATTACAGGCATGCACCACCACGCCCGGCTAATTTTTGTATTTTTAGTAGAGGCGGGGTTTCACCATGTTGGCCAGGCTGGTCTCAAACTCCTGACCTCATGATCTGTCCACTTCAGCCTCCCAAAATGCTGAGATTACAGGCGTAAGCCACAGTGCCCAGCCGCCATTACTTTAAATGGCAAAAACCGCAATTACATTTGCACCAACCTAATACTTTTCAGGTCTGTTTGGCTGGATTAAACAAGCGATGTAAGTTACCTGACACCAGTGGACTCCCAGCCAGTGACATCTGTTTGAGCAGCACCTTCATTTCCATTTGCCTTCATTTTCATCCATTTTATGAAAGAATCACAGTACTATGCATTTAGAAACCAAGGACAGTTATAGCAAATCCATCGTTTATGGCAATTTGTGCTGCAGAAAACTGGTTCTAAAATTTTTCATTTTCCTTCAGGTATTCTACCTCGACACTACCACTTCTCAAATTTATTTCAAAGACGTTTTATCCTTTGCACCATATTCCCTTTGAAAAGTAGGGATTTGGACCTCCTACTGTTTATTTACTATGAAATTAGAGCTAGTATTATGGGAGCTCAGTGCACACTGATAACTGCTTACAAAAGGTGATCCCTGACTCTGTGAGAATGCACTTCTTCACAAGAACTATAGCTGTGTATGGAGTTTGAAGTAAGCCCACCTGTTTGTCATGTCCCCTCAGCATGGATCTCTGATCCAGATACTTCACAGATCTCTGGAGTAGCTGAGTGAGTGTGTGTGAGAGACTAGGCTTTATTTATTTATTTATTTATTTGTAGAGATAGGCTCCCTCTATGTTGCCAGGTTGGTCTTGAACTCCTGGCCTCAAGCAGTCCTTCTGTTTCGGCTTCCCAAAGTGCTGGGATTATAGGCATGAGCCACTTGAGTAGGCTTTGAATGCAGCAGCTCATGCTGGGTTTGACCCCTCAAAATGGAGCTGCATAGCATATATAGTGGGTGTCTGCTTAGTGGCTCAGCATACACCAAAACACCATGCACAATGGAGAAAGCAGGAACTGGGGATCGAAAGCTAATAGGCTCAGAATTCTAGCTCTGCTATTTGCCATGAGACACTGGGCAAAGCACATCTCTGACCCTCAGTTTCTTTCTTTGTGGAGAGAGTTATATCTATTTTGCAAGTCCTGATTATGCAGAGACATTGATCACATATCACGCAAGATCCAGTCGTCATGTTCTGTTATATCCATTTTGCAAGAATTCTTTATAAAGCCCTTAATATATGAGTGCCGATAGTAGTAATAACACTATGCAGAAGAGATGAAGAATATAGGAAATAATAAATTCATCAGTATTCAGTGTTGGGAGCAAGAGACAGTGTGTGTGTTCTGTTTTGTTATGTTTTGTTTTTTTAAAAAAAACAAACAAACAGTGAGCACCGGCCCTGGGCAGGTCGCCTGAGCTCACTCATCTCAGCTGCCTCCCCACGCGGAAGCTGGCTCCCTTGTTGTAAGGACCAGAGCACAAACATGAGAAGCCTTTGCAAACTAAAGCACTCTCCAAGAGACACTGTCAAGCCATCATTTCCATGCCTCTGTACTGTTGCTTGCATTTCTACTTTTCAATACCCACCATCTTCAGCGAGGAGTCATTTCACGTGTACTTGTAGCAATGCCATCAGGCACTTATGATATATACTAAATCATCCCAGAGGCCCGGCGTGGTGGCTCACACCTGTAATCCCAGCACTTTGGGTGGCCGAGACGGGCAGATCACTTGAGGTCAGGAGTTCAAGACTAGCCTGGCCAACATGGTGAAACCCCGTCTCTACTAAAAATACAAAAAATAGCCAGGCATGGTGGTGCGTGCCTATAATCCCAGCTACTCAGGAAGCTGAGGCGGAAAAATCACTTGAACCCAGGGGACAGAAGTTGCAGTGAGCCAAGATCGCACCACTGCACTCCAGCCTGGGTGTCAGAGTGAGATCCTGTCTCAAAAACAACAACAACAGCAACAAAATCATCCCAGAAAGCCATGGTCATAAAAATACTTGCCAGAATCCCATAATAAATTTTACTTACATTTTAAGTTCATTTGTTGAAACAGAAACATTTATTTCTCTTACTTGGCAGCAAAGAAACACACATTTAGTCTGTGTTAGTATATGTGCCTGTGTTTACAGATCATTTTACAGGTCCATAATTTGAGTGAATTTGTATCATTTTCTTTTTGTTCACCATTGTGATCTCTGTGCCTTTACCACATGAATACCAATTTGCTGTGGACAACTGCCCGATCCGGTTACAACCTGGCAAATCTTATCCAGATTTAAGAAAATGACTCTGTAACTTTAGTCTTGTCGCTATTGAGAGTCAAATGACTGAGTTTATCTTCATTGCCTTTTTCTTTCCTAGGTAGCTTTTAAGTCAGCTTGTTTAAGTCAGCTTTTAAGTTTGAAGAATAAACTCATTCAGAAAACACTTAGAATAATCCAAAGTAATAGATGATATTTTGGCAGCAGTTTTGTGTGGATCGTTCACACATTTCCCTCTATGCCAAAAGCACGGTAGAAAGATGAAAAATATTTCAGCCACCTCTCTTGTCACACATGACAACAGGATGTCTTAAAATATATGATGCTGGGCGCAATGGCTTACATCTGTAATCCCAGAAGTTTGGAAGGCCAAGATGGGTGGATCACCTGAGGTCAGGAGTTCGAGATCAGCCTGGCCAAAATGGTGAAACCCCATTTCTATTAAAAATACAAAACAATTAGACGGGCATGGTGGCGCGTGCCTGTAGTCCCGGCTACTCACGGGGCTGAGGCAAGAGAATCGCTTCAACCCAGAAGGCGGAGGTTGCAGTGAGTGGAGATTGTGCCCCTGCACTCCAGCCTGGGTGACAGAGCAAGGCTCCATCTCAAAAAAAAAAAGCATTCATTTTAGGGTGAGACTTACTATGTTTAGGTCCCATCTCTGCTACCAGACATGTGTCTTGGTAAAGTTACTTGGCGTAGCTACTTTAACGAGTCCAACTAGTTGAATTATATAACTAGATAGTAGGCTCCTACAGAACGCTTCCATGTCGTTATGCTTATGAATGTATTTTTCAACTTTTATATGATTATTTCTTAGTTTAAGAAAGCCAGCAGGGACCAAAAAAAGACACTTCTTTGACCTTAAGACGGCAAAAGATGTGAAAACATGGAGATGTGTATTTTCAGAATTTTGTAGCCATCACACATTTAAGATTTTAATGGACTTCAAGATGCTAATAGATATTTTGAAATTTCTCTGGAAATTCACTTGGTTTTCAGCTCCAAGCTGAACAAGGACCACGGGCAGCCAGGTGTAGGTATTTTGTAAGCCACAGCTTGAGATGGTCGTACCTGGTGATGCTCTGTAAGGAGCTAAGAAGGCAGGACCACACGATCCTATTAAAAGGTAGCACTGGATGGCCTTCTTTTTAGACATGCTCCACTGAAGCCTTTTAGTCTACATGGGAAGGAACCAAGGCCCAACAAGTTTAGGTGACTGTGTTAGTTATTGGCAGATTCATGTGTGGAGCCTGGGTCAGCTGACTTCCAGGACAGGGCTGTCTCCTGAACCATTCCGGCATTTGGAGAGCAATGAACACTGCATGATGTGGTTCTTCCTGCTCTGTTGGAAGAAGGCATGGCATTTTAGAGCACAGAAATTCATCAAACATTGAAACATTTGCTATTGTATTGACACCATCTTTTCTTTAGGAATGATCTTGGAAAAAACTAGGAAAAGTTATTCCATGGACCAGTGATGACCAGTTATTGTTCCTTTTATCAACAGGCAAGATGATGATGAATGAAGTCCTGGCAGCTTCCTGTGTCCCAGGCCTTGTAGAAATAAATGAGACAGACGTGCTTCAAAGTTCTAATGTGCATCACATCGGATCTTGTTTAAGGAAGCGTTAAAAGGAACCCACCGTTACCTATTGAGAAGGCTCTGTGCTCTCAGGCATTGTTTCTGATTGAATCCAGAGGTTGCAAGCATGCCTCCCTGTATTACCTGTTGGAGCAGGTTTAATTTTATAAATTTTAAACACAAACTCTATGAGTTTCTAGTTCATAATTGTTCTTTTTGGGGATCCACTCAGATGAACAGTATTGCATCTGTAAGAGATACCCACTTCCACAGGACCAGATTTCATTGCAATATCAGTGGCAACAGACTCCATCTGTAGCATCATCCAGTACCAGTGATGGGAAGGACAGATGGCAAGGAAACCCTTCGGGGGGGAGAAAAAACGTCATATTGTGTTGGACCTACAGATTACTAGAACCATAGCTTTAGTAAACCAAGGCTTTTTTTCTTGAACACAATCTGTGTAGACTGTGTAGTTCTTGATTGGTGGCTTTAATCCGTTATCATTAGGTATCTCCTTGAACATTCTCAAACACTGAAAATCTTAAGCTTTCATTAAAAAAAAAAAAGTAATTGCAGCTTTCAGAAAATCCAGGATTCAGTACAGTCTTCCGAGTGTTTGACTTCAGCCTCCCTGTCCTGTAATTACCAACAGCAGGTACCCGGGTGGTAGACAAGAAGCCTTGCGGGATAGATAAGGAAATGAGGAGGAACAAACATATCACATGGTTCATAAACATACTTTATAAGTACATTTCTTATTAGCTTCTCATTCGGGCAGAGATTATAAAAGTTTGCTGCAAGTATCCAGACCAGGATTTGTGTTTTGGAAATTATCAGTGTTCACAATACCTGCAGGGAAGAAAAAAATATAAAAACTCAAATATGAATACTGTTTACACCCAAAAGAACATTTTTATCATTCTTTTCTTTGTTTTTGGCTCTGTCAAAAATTAAAGTGCTTGGAATGCTGTAGTCTGTGGTCTCTTGAAATTTAATCAATGAGAACCTAGCATTTTCACAGTATGCTGTCACTTTGGACATTCATAATAAAAATTGAAACTAATTTTGGTTGTTAGTCATTTATTTTGCTGTGTAGCTTAGTGCATCTTTTGTGGTCTGTCTGTGCCTAGTAACTGAGCAGTCTGTGTGTATAGAGATGTAGAGATACATTCATAGTTGAAGCCTTTTACTGTTGTTTTCTATATTTGAACAACCACTCTTTTTATTTATTGAAAGGCCAAGAGATTTTTGAATGCCAAGGCCTTTTTGAATATGCATTCTATAACACGGATTAAAATTAATTCCTGAGGATTATATCTAAGCTTTCTTGAGTTTCTCCTTACAGCAGATTTTCTATTAAATTGATTATAATTGTATTTTCTATTACAAGTAGTAAGTAGAAAACTAGAGAAGGCTATAGGTAATATAGTGGCAATTATAGGCTTTTCAATAGGATCTTTATTTGTTTGATTCTCTGCCTGGTAGTGTTGGAATATTGTTTTATGTATTCCATCATACTTCAGTAAGAAATAAAACAGCTCCAAAGAAACACAGACATGTGAGCCTATGTAGAAACTTAGATCTTGCTTGGCACCTGTACCAAATTTGATATGGCAATGAGAAAAGATCCCTTTCCTTCTATTCTTTTGTAATTAAACCTGCAATTGGCAAACATCCATCTAGCTCCCACTTCCCACCCCGTCAAGCCCCCACCTCCCACAAAGGAACAGTATGGATTTGTGACTAACTTCACCATTCTTGTGCACATATGAGCAAATGATTTGGGAAATTAAATGGGGAAAAAAAATAGAAGTTTCTGAGGTTCTTTTCGGTGGATAGGGTGAGAGGAGAAACAGAATAGCAAATGAAGTTAAAAGAGGATCATTCCTTCAGCACTGGGTGCATATGCAGTCAGCACTTAGCTGGAGGTGCTTTTCCAATGACCAGGTGCACACGAAGGCCCATCTGTTGGAAGAGTAATCTTTTTAAAATCCCAAGGCAGCATAATAGGGGCAGAGGTTGATGCTTTTGTTCCCTGGATGAATTCCCTTTTCAGAAGCTCCTGCTCCCCTCGACCTGAGCATCTGGACAGGCTCTCTGTGTGAATCGGCATGAATATTGAACAGTCCGCACTCCATCCCTGCTTCAGTCCATGGCAAAGGAAAGCTTTCAAAAGTCACCATCCTCCAGGGACTTGAAGCATTTCGAGCTGGTTTTTAAAACAGTATTAAGTGACTTTGACAAACTGAAGCTATTTGGTATTTGCACAATTAGAAAGAATCCCCCATGGGGGTTGTTTGGCTTTGTGAGTAAATGCTGGCCTCTCACTTGAATTCCAATACAGAGATCTCATTCAAATGAGATGGGTGGTCTTAGGCAATTTCTTTGTGGTTAATAAATTCCTCATGGGGGGGGGAAACTATTTCAGAATGGCCTCCGCAAAGGAATTACACATAGATGATTACTTTTATCCAGAGTAATTTGTGTTTTAAATGATTTTAAAGTATAAGCAGTTAAGAAAGTCATGAAATTTGATGCTTTAGAAGAATGCCTCCTTTCATTCATTATTAATGATTTCCCCAAATCCACTATTTCTGCATCTATGTATGAAAATTGAAGAACATTCCAGACTATGGTGGTGGCATCAAATCCAATCATTTTTATAACTGGGCTTTCTTTTGGAGGACTCTTTAAAGGTTACAGAAAGAGGCAGCTTGGCGCAGTGTGTAGACTGGCACAGTGTGTAGACTGGCTCATAGTTACTGTTTTATAGATGTTTTCTGTACCTTTTAGTATCTGTGAAAAATATTATATTTACTCCTTTTATTTCTTCTGAGGCACACATCTCTTTCAAAAACTTTTTTTAATATCATAGAAATATATTCTATCTGTGAGCTATAAGGAAATAAAATGATGCTCATTTTCATCCATTCTTACATTATTTCAAAACTAAATCATTTCTCAATCCTATAAGATATAAATCAATTGCCTATTATTGTAGATGACTTAGGAAAGAAGATTGTAAACTAGAAAAAATATACTTGCATTTTTAGTCCAAACTTTTAAAACTACAAGTTCAAGTACTGTATTCAGATATATTTTCTAAAAAGATATCATTCATAAAATTAATGCAAATTTTAAAATCCACTAAAGGATCCATAGTGCTAGAAATAAATGTGGCTTTCAGATGGCCGTGACTCTCAGCTTGCACAACTGGGAAAAAGCCCGAATATGCCTCTTGTTAATTTTGTCCGCTTGATCATGGGATGGGAAGAATATTACTGAGTGGAAGCAATTGCTATTGCAAAGATGTTTTGCAAAGCTTTATGAAGACTGTGGCAAATGTTATCTTGTATCTCAAGGGACCTTGCGTGGAGAGTTGCACTGATATTTAGAAGTTCCCACACACGGTGTCACACAGGCCAAGAGCCACAGCAGTCAGAAATGCAAGGGGGACCTCCCTGCTTCTTACAGCATCATTCCCACCCTTTCATTACAACAGAAAGGGAAAAAGCTAACGAGGAAAAGGAAGTAACTTTTGCCAGAAATGTCCATGCAATTGCGGGCTTTCTTTCCCCTGTGTAATGTGAGTGCACAAATGTCCATGCGCTAGAGGGTTTTCTTTTTTCTTTTTTTTTTCCCTTTAGATGGAGTCTCACTCTGTGGACCAGGCTGGAGTGCAATGGCGTGATCTCGGCTCACTGCAACCTCCACTTCCCAGGTTCAAGCAATTCTCCTGCCTCAGCCTCCCAAGTAGCTGGGATTACAGGCACCTGCCACCATGCCTGGCTAATTTTTGTATTTTTAGTAGAGATGGAGTTTCACCATGTTGGCCAGGCTGGTCTTGAACTCCTGACCGCAGGTGGTCCACCCGCCTCGGCCTCCCAAAGTGCTGGGATTACAGACATGAACCACCGCACTCAGCCCAAGGGCTTTCTTTATCCTGTGTGATGTGAGTGCACTCACAAGTACACATAGCATGGGACTGGAGGCCATAAGTAGAGTGACTAGAATCCTCTTAGGCCACAAAAAAGCAAAACTCTCAAAGGTGAGGCCTGGCTGGGGACTGCCAGGAGAGCGCAGGGACCAAGAGGCCAGCTCTGGGTTCTGCAACACGAGCTGGGCTCCAGTGCCCCAGAAAGTGATTCCCAGGTTCTCACCTCATGTACGGCAGGTGTGGCCACAACCGAAGCCCCACCTTCTTCACACTGACTCCAGGTCCTGTGCTTGTTTTTTTTTATTAGAATCTTGCAAATTTGTCTCCAAATACCAATATTCCTTCATTCATCCAACACGTATGTATCTAGTGCTTACTAAATACACAGTGCGGTGCTTGAGATCAGAGATGGAACAGTGCATTAAAATTATGCTTGAGCACGTCAGTAGAACGTGCATGTTCAATGGGAATACGGGTGTGTACTGCAGCTTAAGCACAAGATGAATGCAAAGGAAGCTCACAGAGGCAGATGCAAATCAGTAGTTTTCCTAAAAATGACTTGTTCTTTATTATCTCAACTTGCCACTATCGTAAAAAAGAAAATAGTTCTTACTGTTTAGTCATTTGCTGTTTCCTAGCCAGTAACACATTTGTAGTTTTATTTGGATTGGAGAACCAAGAGATTATATTGACTTATACTAGTGAACGCCTCTTTTCTAAACCCTGAAACTCTAGCAAGGATACAGGTCCCGCCATCCATGAATGCTGCCGTTGAATTCAACATGAGAAGTGACCCGTTTCATCTGTAAACGGGGTAGGGGAACTCAAAATACTTTCAAACACAAGGACTTTGGCTTTACAACGTTTGGAAAATTACAGACAGAACACAAGAAACTATTTATATCAAACCAAAAGAATTCAGAGTTTCTCAAGAGATCTCTCTTATTAAAAAAAAATGTGTATTTCATGGAATAAGGATAGACTATGGCAAGAGAGTGGGCTAGAAAGAAAGTTATTCTTTTCTGAACTTGGTTTGGTTTTCCTGGGGCCATCTTAGCAGTACACAGAAACAATGCTAGTTTTCCCAGATCCCCGTCACAATGAACAGTTGCATAGAAGTAGGGTTGATTGAATGTTTTCAGTCTAATTGTATCTGACTTAGAAAGATGTTATCATTAAATACAAAAGGAGAAACTAAAGCCAATAGATAATCGGAGAATTGTGGATTTAATTCAGCATTAGCTGCGATCTTTTTCTCAGGCAGAAGGATACATCAGATCTAAGTACAGGAATTTAACTAAATGGAATGTCAGATTTATGATATGTAGGTTTCCTTTGGAAATCCAGACATCTCTGTCCAGATGTGAAGACTGTAGAGAATACATGTTGTTTAAAGCAGATTATTAACTTGAATAAGTACAAGCATGACCACCCCCAAATCATTTGCTAATCATTGTTTCTTTGACTTCAGCCAAGACACAAGCAATAACGTTCCTTCCATTCAACTAAAATCCTACTTAATTCCAAGTAAACGTAATAATTCCTCAGTATGCTCAATCAGACCATCAAAACCTTCGAGCTGAGGATCCCCAAGATATTACAGCAACAGACTATTTTCTAGCACAGTTGGGGCTTAAGGTTTTTCCAATGGATCTCCAGTTTTTCAGGAATTTGAATACATTTTTTAAATGCACTAACATAAATGCTCTACTGGATATAATCCTAACAGTCTTTGCTGTTGCAAAGGCCACCAGGACCTTGAGGTGCTCCGGGTCTGGGTTAATGCCCATAGGGTTCACCATGCTGGACTGGGGGCCGCAGCAGCACCAGGCACAGAGCTCAGTTCATAAAGCACCAGCTTCTAACATAAATTGACATTAACGACAGTCACTCTCCTCCCAAGGACAGAGCAAAAAGGAAACCCACTTAATAGAACAGATGCAGTTAGTGTATTTTAGCTCATCCCTTAAGCAGTCACTAAACACCGGCATCCCATTGGATTTGTCTGTGCTTACATCAAGGAAGTTTCTTCTCTTACCAAATTCCTTCCATCACCCGTAAAGAAAGCACATTCCTTCACTCAGGTGTGTCTCCTCAGCTCCTCTTAGCTCAGTCTTCAGTTTGCT